GGTTGTCCTTCTGGATGTTTCTCCCATCTCCACAGAGGAACTCTGGAGCTCTGTCAGAGTGACCATCAGGTTCTTGGTCACCTCCCTGACCAAGGCCCTTCTCCCTCGATTGCTCAGTTTGGCCGGGCGGCCAGCTCTAGGAAGAGTCTTGGTGGTTCTAAACTTCTTCCATTTAAGAATGATGGAGGCCACTGTGTTCTTGGGGACCTTAAATGCTGCAGACATTTTTTTGGTACCCTTCCCCAAATCTGTGCCTCGACACAATCCTGTCTCGGAGCTCTATGGACAATTCCTTCGACCTCATGGCTTGGTTTTTGCTCTGACATGCACTGTCAACTGTGGGACCTTATATAGACAGGTGTGTGCCTTTCCAAATCATGTCCAATCAATTGAATTTGTAGAAACATCTCAAGGATGATCAATGGAAACAGGATGCACCTGAGCTCAATTTCGAGTGTCATAGCAAAGCGTCTGCATACTTATGTAAATAAGTTATTTCTGTTTTTAATTTGTAATACATTTGCAAAAATTTCTAAAAACCTGTTTTCACTTTGTCATTATGGGGTATTGTGTGTAAATTGATGAGATAAAAAAAAAAAAATTAGAGTAAGGCTGTAAAATGGAGAAAAGGTAAAGGAGTCTGAATACTTCCGAATGCACTTTATACATGTTGGAGCCTCAATCAAACTAGTCGTCTTGACAACTTTCTTATGTCATTCTCGCTGGCACCAAAAGTTTAAAAAGTGTTGATAGGGGATAGAATGCCTTCGGACCATCAAGTAATTGGCATATACATTACTCTTACAAAATTTCCAAGTGGGCGAGGATATTGGAAATGTAATCAAAGCCTATTGGATGATAACTTGTTTTTAACTTGACTAAATAATGTATAACTCACTTTTTGCGACATAACATTTTAAATGTGCCTTTAGAGGCCATGCAATTCAATACTCATCTTTAAAACAAAAGCAATTTAGGTCAAAATAGTTAATATTAACAAAGGAAATAGGACTAACAGTACAGATAAATAGCAGTAAAAACTGTACCAGAGAGGCACAGAATAAGCTGGAGGAAAAGCAAAAATAAATGGAGGAACTTATTCAAGAAATATCAAGTGTAATGTATTATAAAAAATAAAGCGAATTGGATGGAATATGGGGAAAAATGCACCAAATTATATTTTTTATCTTCAACATAGAAATGCAACCAAAAATAATTTACTGAAACTTGTTACAAATGACAGTCACCCATGATTCACCAAACAATAATTTGAAAGTGGAATCAAAGTACTTTAAGCATACATTTTCGTTTCAGTCTCTTCCATCTCCACTAACCGAAGTTAATTGTATGGATTATTTTTCTATGAATAATGTAAAATTAACGGCTGTACAGAAAGACTCATGTGAAGGCCAAATTACAGAAGAGGAACTTTTTGATGCAATTAAACCCTTTAAGTCCTTGAAAACTCCAGGGCTGGATGGCATACCAGTTGAGGTATACCAAACATGTTTTGATGTACTCAGAGGACTGTTATTAGCATGTTTTAACCACTTTTAACCATGGTAGATTATCAGATACTCAACAAGAAGGTCTGATTTCATTATTACTGAAACAGGACCCATGTGGTAAATATAAAGATCCAGTCCATTAAAAAAATTGGAGGCCCCTTACACTTCAGTGTTGTGATGCAAATATTCTAGCAAAATGCATAGCGCATAGAATAAAAAAGTTATTGTTGGATATTATTCATTCTAATCAGACAGGTTTTGTACATGGACGATAGATTGGAGATAATATAAGACAAGTACTGGAAACAATAGAACACTATGAAAAATCTGGGAAACCAGGCCTGGTATTCATAACTGACTTTGAAAAGGCTTGTAACGGAGATGCAGGGATTCAGGAAGCAGGTGCAGTTGGTGAGTTTAATAATAACGAACATGGAGAGATATAAATCAAGAGAAGCGTCTGGACAAGAAAACAGAACCAATACTGCCTGATGAGTGAGGCTACGGAGTGCTAGATGAAGGAGAAGTAATGATGAAGTCCAGGTGTGCATAATGATGGTTGCCAGGTGTGTGTAATGATGGTTGCCAGGTGTGTGTAATGATGATTGCCAGGTGTGCATAATGATGGTTGCCAGGTGTGTGTAATGATGGTTGCCAGGTGTGCATAATGATGGGTTGCCAGGATCGGTGGTTAGTAAACCGTAGAGTGCCGGAGCAGGAGTAGGCATGACAGTACCACCCCCCCTTGCCGGTCCTGGCAGTGACTCCTCAAGAACCTCCCCAGCTCCTGGTTCATCCAGTAACACTTTAGTTGAAGGGCTAACTTTTATTAAATACCTATGTCAACAACTGCAAGTATACATAGGATGTTTTGAGTCGAGATACAGTGGGGTCCGAAATTATTGACACCCTTGATAAAGATGAGCAATAATTACTATATAAAATAAATAATTCAAATACTGAGCATACAATAATATTGTATGCAAAAAAATATGGTGAAAAGTGGGGGAAAAAAGTATTTAGTCAGCCACCAATTGTGCAAGTTCTCTCACTTAAAAAGATGAGAGAGGCCTGTAATTTTCATCATAGGTACACGTCAACTATGACAGACAAAATGAGATTTTTTTTCTCCAGAAAATCACATTGTAGGATTTTTAATGATTTTATTTTCATATTATGGTGGAAAATAAGTATTTGGTCAATAACAAAAGTTTCTCAATACTTTGTTATATACCCTTTGTTGGCAATGACACAGGTCAAACGTTTTCTGGAAGTCTTCACAAGGTCTTTCACACACTGTTGCTGGTATTTTGGCCCATTCCTCCATGCAGATCTCCTCTAGAGCAGTGATGTTTTGGGGCTGTCGCTGGGCAACACGGACTTTCAACTCCCTCCAAAGATTTTCTATGGGGTTGAGATCTGGAGACTGGCTAGGCCACTCCAGGACCTTGAAATGCTTCTTACGAAGCCACTCCTTCGTTGCCCGGGCGGTGTGTTTGGGATCATTGTCATGCTGAAAGACCCAGCCACGTTTCATCTTCAATGCCCTTGCTGATGGAAGGAGGTTTTCACTCAAAATCTCACGATACCTGGCCCCATTCATTCTTTCCTTTACACGGATCAGTCGTCCTCGTCCCTTTGCAGAAAAACAGCCCCAAAGCATGATGTTTCCAACCCCATGCTTCACAGTAGGTATGGTGTTCTTTGGATGCAACTCAGCATTCTTTGTCCTCCAAACACGACGAGTTGAGTTTTTACCAAAAAGTTATATTTTGGTTTCATCTGACCATATGACATTCTCCCAATCGTCTTCTGGATCATCCAAATGCACTCTAGCAAACCTCAGACGGGCCTGGACATGTACTGGCTTAAGCAGGGGGACACGTCTGGCACTGCAGGATTTGAGTCCCTGGCGGCGTAGTGTGTTACTGATGGTAGGCTTTGTTACTTTGGTCCCAGCTCTCTGCAGGTCATTCACTAGGTCCCCCCATGTGGTTCTGGGATTTTTGCTCACCGTTCTTGTGATCATTCTGACCCCACGGGGTGAGATCTTGCGTGGAGCCCCAGATTGAGGGAGATTATCAGTAGTCTTGTATGTCTTCCATTTCCTAATAATTGCTCCCACAGTTGATTTCTTCAAACCAAGCTGCTTACCTATTGCAGATTCAGTCTTCCCAGCCTGGTGCAGGTCTACAATTTTGTTTCTGGTGTCCTTTGACAGCTCTTTGGTCTTGGCCATAGTGGAGTTTGGAGTGTGACTGTTTGAGGTTGTGGACAGGTGTCTTTTATACTGATAACAAGTTCAAACAGGTGCCATTAATACAGGTAACGAGTGGAGGACAGAGGAGCCTCTTAAAGAAGAAGTTACAGGTCTGTGAGAGCCAGAAATCTTGCTTGTTTGTAGGTGACCAAATACTTATTTTCCACCATAATTTGCAAATAAATTCATAAAAAATCCTACAATGTGATTTTCTGGAAAAAAATTCTCAATTTGTCTGTCATAGTTTGACGTGTACCTATGATGAAAGTTACGGGCCTCTCTCATCTTTTTAAGTGGGAGAACTTGCACAATTGGTGGCTGACTAAATACTTTTTTTCCCCACTGTATATTATTTTATACTATTACAATTGCTCAGAGAAAGATATTTTGTTTAACAAGTAATATATGTTTATTTTTATTTACAATCAATTCTATTGGGCACAAAATAATCTCAAACACAACCAAAACAAACTGCAAATGCATCCAAAAAGTTTGTAGAGTCACAAGCTTGATGTAGTCATTACGTGCTAGGAATATGGGACCAAATACTAAACTTTTGACTACTTTATTTATACCAATCTTTAGGGGTGTCAATTTTAATGACTACCTGTTTGAGAAAAATGTATGTTACTTATTATTTAAAAAATATTTCTCTGAGCAATTGTATTAGTGTAACATAATATAATTTCCCAATTTCTTTCAGCATACAATTTAGCTCAATATTTGAATAATTTATTTTATACAGTCATTATTTCTCATCTTAATGGCGGACCCCACTGTACATGTAGTTTATGTGACGATACTGTGACATCAAAAACGTCAGCTTGCAGTTCTACTGATTATGAATGTGTCATTAATTGCTAAGGAATGTGTTATGAAGTCCTTATGTAGGTGCCGTTCAACTTTAAGTGTCACCAATGCCTGAAAATACATTGATTTGATTGATATTTGGCATTGCAGAAGAAATAATAAGATAAACGTATGTGCTTGTTGCTGGTTTGGCCCTCCCTCTTCTGCCCAATTCCAAATCAACTCTTAGCCCCTAGCCCCAGGCATTTCTGGAAAAAATCTGCAATATGGAATTAGCTCGATCTCGCCCTCTCATAGACTAGGTGGAATTGCTTATCCACCAATCAAATCCTTTCAGATCTACACAAGAGCCTCTAGTCGTCCATGGTTCTCCGGTCGATGGCAGGTGATTAGCAGGTGGGAGGGAATTCCCTGGGCAATGATCAGGCCTGGACGCAGATGGCCCAATTGCCTTGCACATTCCCAAGGACCGAGCAGTCCAGGACAGCATAGATCATTGTATCCACAGACCTCGTAGGGACACATGACTCCATCCAGGAGATGGAGGCGCCGGTAGCGATCTCACTACAAACACACACACACACAGATTGGCATACTAAATATACCATATTGGCTCTGTTTTTGTGAATGTGAGGTTAATGTAAGTGTGAACATCATCATGATGTGAGATCTTGCAGTTGTAAATCCTGTTACCTGTACAACTTTTCCCGGTATGACATGAAATTAGGCCCTTGCATGGCCATCCTCACGTCATGAAGGCTGAATGGAAATGGGTTTGTGAACTCCACCTTGACAACTACTTCCTGGTTCACCTGCGCTGGTCCACTCATCTGTTCAAATAGAGATAGTACATCACAACAATCTATGGTCATATAATAAATGATAATGATCTGGGGATTATCAACTCCACTGCGTTGGCTGCATGGATGGTTTTTGGAATGTCTGCTTGATCAAAGGCGAGGAGAGATGCAGCTTTCTAGCAGCACAAGTAAGGCTTTAATTGGGTACACTACTAAGGCTGTGGCGATCACAAAATGTCATCTGCCGGTGATCGTCAAGCAAATAACTGCCAGTCTAATGGTAATTGACCTTTAATTAACATAAACACATTTAGCATCTCCTGGCTTCCACACATAGCCTACAAGCCACTGATGCAGAACTTTGGAACATCTACGTTATAAAAGGTCTAATAGGTGTAAGCTCCCGAGTGGCGCAGCGGTCTAAGGCACTGCGTCTCAGTGCTAGGCGTCACAAGGTGTCACTTCAGACCCTGGTTCGATTCCAGGCTGTATCACAATCCGGCCGTGATTGAGAGTCCCATAGGGCGGCGCACAATTGGCCCAATGTCGTCCGGGTTTGGCCGGGGTAGGCAGTCATTGTAAATAATAATTTGTTCTTAACTGACTTGCCTAGTTAAATACAAATAAAAAATAAAAATACACCTTCACAATAAATGCATTCTTTATTTCAGTCAGGTATAAAGAAACATGATGTGAAGAAAATGTAGTCTATTTTAGAAGAACAGAATAGCATACTCTGAGTTGTCCTTATGTTAGGTTCTGATCTGGCTATGGCTGTGGGCTACACTAGTTCATTTAGCAGACAAGATTTGGTTAGTATGAATTTGGTTATTTTATAGTATGTAGAATACAATTGAACAAAGCTGAATAAAATAGAAAGGATATTTTTTCCAAACGATTTGAAGGAGTGCGCACATGCGGCTATTCTGTGTTGAGCGGTTAACAAAGAAATAGTTCCTCCTATATGCTTAATTTAGAGTTATTTATGTAACGTTAGTTGTGATACAAATGTTGGGCTAAATGTTTTGAATTTTAATACATTGTAAGGCTGCATGATGCAACTCTAATGATGATTTGAAAAAAGTCACGTGAAAGGCATGAGCTCTGCTTTGTTTTTTGCACAGGCTGTACACACTCCATCTGTCTCTCATTCACAATTTGACAAGCACTTGATAATGCCTCGAATTTCCTGGCGGCATCCCCTTTGTGTGGCCGTAATGCACCCTAAACAAATCCATGCCTTTTGCGGCCAGTGGCAGTTGTGCCCTTGGGCTAAATATAATAATTATAATTCTCTTCTCCATGAGTGCTGCATACTCTGAAGCACCTCTCACTCACATCGCTCTCAATCACGTGATCGGGTCTTTCTCACAGGCTACAAGTGAAGACAGACACATCAGGGACAAAACTGCGTGCATCCTTATCCAATTCCGAGGTGAAGATATTGGAAGAACTGTCCACATTTACTTTTCGTCAGCCAGGTAGGCCTAACAAACAGCAAAAGCACTAGCCTATGACAATCTACTATCCCCCATAGTACAGAAGTTGACCTATTCTGTGCGAGAAATAAATATTCCAAACATTGTCTGGGACAGTTGTGGGATGCGATAGATCCCAAATTAAGACAACAACTAGCATTAAAAAAAATGTTTTTACGCAATGAGCCTGACGCAACAGATCAGAACCTTTAGCTTAAACTTTTGATAAACTATTAGGCTATTTCTTCACATTATAAGCGCAGCAATGCGCACACGGCAATGTTCCATTAGCGGGAAAACACCATTATCAAAAGTGACCGCAAATGCGATTATGCATGTAATGCTTTTATTATAAAGGTGCATTTTATAATGTTGCCGGACAAATTCAATCAGCAACAGGAAAACTCTAATACTAACTCTAATACTCTAATAAAACTCTAGTATGTTTGTCTGCATATCACTTTTATAATAATCTTTTGATTATTCGGGATTCACCGTAAAGCGGATTAATGTGCTTAATTTTAAGAAGTTATTTGGCCACATTAGTTGTGATACAAACCTTTTCAAAACATATAGGCTTATGGGCTAGGCTACATGAGATGTTTGACTATGATTAGAAGAAGTCCAAAAAAAAAGGCATTGTTTCTTGCCTTACGCTGGGCATCATTCACAAGTGATAATATATAATTCACAAGTGATATAAGCTAATATTGTCACCGATCAGTTTTTCTTTCCATGTCAGCAGTCTATGGAACAACGTAAGAGAGCAATCCATGATTTGGTTTTGTTTACCTGGCCACTGTCACCAAATTACTGCTGACAGGGTAAGGAAACCAAAATGGTTTTTTTTGGGGGGGGGGGGGGGAACTATCCCTTTAAGGGAATAAGGAAATACATCCTAATAAAGAGGACTAATGGAACTTCCAGACCCACCGAAAAGACCAGCTCGGGGCCTTCCAGGTTCACTATCTGCATGGCCGTCATGTCCTGGTTGTTCTCCATGCTCTTGGCTGTCACCATGAAGCGCAGATTGGACTGGCAACCCAGCTTGGGCATGTACTTCTGGGCCAGCACGACCACCTGCACCCTCGACACTGTTGGTCACAGGGAGAAAGAGTTTTGACAATAAACCCGAACCGGACAAATTCAATCAGCAACAGGAAAACTCTAATACTAACTATAATACTCTAATAAAACTCTAGTATGTTTGTCTGCATATCACTTTTATAATAATCTTTTGAATATTCGGGATTCACCGTTGCTTACCATTTGATACCAGGTTGTTACCTGTAAAGCCTTTTGAAGTACGTACTGGAGAGTATCCCATCATTACCTCACAATCTCTTACAATACAATACATACACACATACCTGCTGAAACAGGATGGTAACATAAATCTCTAAGGACTGTAAAGTAAAGCATTTCCTATAAGCAGTTGAGGATTTTATTTCAGAGGAGTGGTCTGAAAGCTTTGCAGGACTATCGTACAAAGTTGTGATACATGGAGACATTCTCAAGCCTATAAAGACATACAGTACAGTACGTATGTAAAGGGTCACCCCGGTTTCCACTCACACTCCATGGGGTTCAGAGTGACGTCAAAGCTCTCCTGCTTGAACTGAGCTCTTTGGATGTTAGTGTAGTAGACTGTGGAGCCCACCAGGAAGCCACGGATGATGCGTGTGTCTTCACTCAGGTTCCTGAAGACCACAGCCATCTGGAAGTCATGGCCAATCTTCACCTGCTCCACTGGTGTCTCCAGCGTCATCTCCACGTTAGCCTGTGGGATCTCCTGCTCGTCGTCGTATTGCATATCCATCTTGTAGGTACTCTCGGCTTTCTTCATGGTCATTTCATCCTTACTGCTGCCTGTGCGTGTGTGGGGAGATGGAGGGGAATAGAGTTAACATGGGACTGGTGGTCTGGTGCTTAAACAGAAACCCAGCCTAAAACCCCAAAGAGCAAGCAGTGCAGACGTGGAAGCACGGTGGCTAGGAAAAAGGAACCTAGGAAGAAACCTAGAGAGGAACCAGGCTCTGATGGGTGACCAGTCCTCTTCTGGCTGGTGGAGATTATAAGAGTACATGGCCATTAAGGCTAGATCATTCTTCAAAATGTTGAAATGTTCATAGATGACCAGCAGTCTCAAATAATAATCACAGTGGTTATAGAGGGTGCACCAGGTCAGCACCTCAGGAGTAAATGTCAGTTGGCTTTTCATAGCCGAGCAATCAGAGGTTGAGACAGCAGGTGCGGTAGAGAGAGAGCGAGAGAGAACACATATATCGCTGCATCAACGGTTTGAAACCGGCCCACTGCAATTTTAGCAACTCCCTTCTATCTTTTCTCTCTCTCTATTCCATACAATAGCCAAAAAACTATACAATATAAATTACTGCATCGATACAGCAGTAATTGAAAAGTAATTTGAAAAGCAGTGGTAGCGTAGTCATTTCTATACTTCATTCTTGTTGCATTAGTTTCATGAGAAATTGTACAAACTGCCAATAACAAACGGACTTTCAGTAAAATGTAGCATTAAACGTGCAGTTGCACCCTTGCCAGCCTACTCCCTTGTCCAGGTGCCACATACCTTCTGGGTATTTGTACGTCTCTGTAATGTCCATTGGCTCATAATTCTTTCCACCAACGGACTTCGTCACTACTTTCTTGCCGACATAGGTTGTGTCCACTCTTAGTAACTCAGTTTTCCCAGTTTGTGGATTTAGCTTGTGGTAGTAAACGTTGCTATTCACCTGAGGTTAAAAGAAAGAGATAAATGTCAATATTGTGATTGTTTAAAAAATCAAGAAAATGTAATGCAAGTGTGTGCAAGCATATACAGTTATAAAGCATAAGTGTGTTATGCTTCATAATGGTATAGATGATGAAGGCATTATAATAATAATATGCCATTTAGCAGACACTTTTATCCAAAGCGACTTACAGTCATGTGTGCATACATTTTTATGTGTTGGTGGTCCTGGGGATCGAACCCACTACCCTGGCGTTACAAGCGCCATGCTCTACCAATTGAGCTACAGAGGACCATTATGTTAGAACAGTGTTACTTGTCAAGCTCAAAGAAAATGTATGGTTTTACCGCAATTTCTGTTTAATCCACCAGAAAAGACAGAACAAATATTACAACAAATATTATGGTTAAACACAAATATAGTATTTGATCAAATAAAACTATTTTTGGAGAAAAATAAAGAATAAAGGTATCATCTTTATTAATGACATCATAAATAGGACCGGTGAAGTTATGTCACGCAGCTAACAAAAATATATGGAAATGTCTGCTCTATACAAAATTATAACCAACTGATTGCAGCATTACCACAAAAATAGAGGGGGCAAGTGGAAGGGGGAGAAGATAAGGAACTGTCGACCCTACATTAAAAACCAAAATTGGTTAAAGAAAATTGTGATAAATAAAAAAGTATATCAGTTTCATTTAAGGACCAAAAAATGTACAGCTGCACCATACAGGTTGCAAAATAGTTGGGAAGAGATTTTCAATGTCCTGATTCCATGGCACATGGTTTATGAACTGATACACAAAATGACGCCTGATTCAAAACGTGGAGTTTTTCTATAAAAATTATTATATAAAATTCTTGCATCCAATAGAATGTTATGTATATGGGGGATACAACCATCCCAGCTCTGGAGATTTTTCTGCAAAAAGACAGAATCAATAGATCACTTGTTTTAGTACTGCCGATATGTAACTTGTTTCTGGTCGCAGGTTAAGGAATGGCTGAAAAATTGCATAATTTACCTGGAGCTAACTCTGCAAATAGTGACTTGAAAAGCCATAGTCAATCGATCAATAATATAATAATACTCTTAGTAAAAATGTTAATCTTTAATTTACAATCAGCAGAAACTATGAGAATAGAAAGGTTCAGTATTTTTGTGAAACATTACAGCACAGTTGAGAAATATATGGCAATTAGAAATCAAAACTGGATGGTTTTTAGAGATAGATAGGATGGTTTGAGGGTATTTGAAGGGTGGGACTAAAAACAAATAAAAGAAGATTACTAATGTAAAATATACTGTGTCCGTCAAATGTATATAGTATGTATAAGCCTAAATATTGTTGTCCATTAGTTTGCTCCAATTAGGGGATGGGTGATAGGGTTAGGGGGAAATAATAAAGAAGGAATATATATACAGTACCAGTCAAAAGTTTGGACACACCTACTCATTCAAGGGTTTTTCTTTATTTTTTACTATTTTCTACATTGTAGTTGACATCAAACCTATGAAATAACACATATGGAATCATGTATTAACCAAAAAACTGTTAAACAAATCAAAATATATTTTATATATGAGATTCTTCAAATAGCCACCCTTTACCTTGACAGCTTTGTGTCCTTTGTCCTTTGGTCTGGAGTCCAAATTGGAGATTTTTGGTTCCAACCACTGTGTCTTAGTGAGACACGTTGTGGGTGAACGAATGATCTCCGCATGTGTATTTCCCACCGTAAAGCATGGAAGAGGAGGTGTTATGGTGTGGGGGTGTTTTGCTGGTTACACTGTCTGTGATTTATTTAGAATTCAAGGCACTCTTAACCAGCATGGCTACCACAGCATTCTGCAGCGATACGCCATCCCATCTGGTTTTTCAACAGGACAATGACCCAACACACCTCCAGGCTGTGTAAGGGCTATTTTACCAAGAAGGAGAGTGATGGAGTGCTGCATCAGATGACCTGGCCTCCACATTCCCCCGACCTCAACCCAATTGAGATGGTTTGGGATGAGTCGGACCGCAGAGTGAAGGAAAAGCAGCCAACAAGTGCTCAGTATATGAGGGAACTCCTTCAAGACTGTTGGAAAAGCATTCCAGGTGAAGCTGGTTGAGAGAATGCCAAGAGTGTGCAAAGCTGTCAAGGCAAAGGGTGGCTATTTGAAGAATCTCAAATATAAAATATATTTTGATTTTTTAACACTTTTTTGTTTACTACATGATCCCATATGTGTTATTTCATCATTTTGATGTCTTCAATATTATTCTACAATGTAAAAAATATTACAAATAAAGAAAAACCCTTGAATGAGTAGGTGTGTCAACACTTTTGACTGGTAGTGTATATATAAATAAAAGTATTGTTTTACCTCAGCAAAAACAAATGGGGCTTCAAATTGATAGCTGAGCATTCCTTCCTTGATGGCTTTCACAGAGCATGGTCCACAGCGGTAATATCCTGCAAAAATAATGTCAACAACCCATCAATGACACTGTCTGTTTGACATTTAAAGGGAAAGTTCACTTTTATTTATCCTTTTGCGTATTTTCGACTTCCCTAGGGTGCTGTTGTTTACATTTTTAAATTTTAGTCATTTAGCAGACGCTCTTATCCAGAGTGACTACATTTTTTTTTTCATACCCGTGAGAAACAAACCCACAACCCTGGCGTTGCAAGCGCCATGCTCTATCAACTGAGCTACAAATCATTTTGATATCCATTAGCTGGTTATTTAGCATTGTCTAGAATATATTTGCTAGCATTGTTTTGAGAATATTCCAATGCAATTGGAAAAAGGTTTGTATTTGTGGATTGTATCAGGGGATTGCTACATTCCCCAAAAATGCTAGCCAGGAGATTATAGACGTTGTTTATTAAATAACCTAGCGAACATTGTCAAGGTGCAATCAATGCTTTTGAGAGCCATTTTCTTCATTTTATTGGCACCCTTGCACTTTTATAAATAATTCCCAAATTCTTCTAAAATAAATTTAAATTGCAAAAAACTTTTGGTGAAATGGTATGGACAAAATTATTAGCAACCAAGAGCTAATACTTGGTTGCACAGCCTTTGGCCAAGGTAACTGCCCATGAATGCTTCTTGTAGCCATCGAGCTTTCTACTGGAAGTTTGGCCCACTTGCCATAAGTTTTCGATGGGATTCAGACATGGACTCAATGCTGGCCACTCCAGAACAGTCCAGTGTTTCTTCTTGAACCAGTCCTGGGTGCTTTTTGATGTGTTTGGGGTCATTGGAAAACCCACCACCTTTGACAGAGACTCAGTTTTTGGGCACTGGGTTGAAAAGGGCAGTTCCATAAGGGCAGACAAAGTAAATCAAGGATCTGGAAATATTCTGTTTCATGGAATGGTCTAAGATCCCTCCTAATGTGTTCTCCAATCTCATAACAATGAAATCCCCAGTGTTGTTATCCTCGCAAGGATAGGGTGCTGGAGTACTGAAAACAAAGGTTTAATCATTTTGACCCCTATCTTTGTGAGATTTTTTTGTATTTTTTGTTAAACAAAATCTGTTTAGCTGAGCAATTGTATTAGTATAAAATAATATAATTTTCAAAAAGGAATTAGAATAGAATATATCTCAGTATTTGTATTATTTATTTTATAACGTTTTTTTTGCTCATCTTTATCGATGGTGCCAATAATTATAGACCCCACTGTATATGAAGGGTTTGATTCCAAAATGCGATAAACACCAATTTTTTACATTTACATTTTTTCCTCTGAAATGAATGCTCATGGATCCCTTTCTATGTGTATGAATTATGGTTGTTCTCATACTTTTAAAACATATACTTTAGATGTGCTTTAGAATGTGTTTTGTTGCAAACCGAGATATCCGACACACTTGTTTCATACCAAAATGTGCTATATCCAGAGCCATGTGTTTGGAGAGTTGGGACATTGAGGTTTCTGCATTATGATGCGTTTACATGACACAACAACATTCTTTGGCAGCCATACGCCAAGGTGATATTCACAACATAAGAAGGAATTCCCCTCAACCACGCCCACAAATTGGGGAAAACAAACATTCTTTCTTTACAAAAAGCTAACTTTGTCG